TAGAGATTATAAGGAAGTTATAAGGAGTCGAATGAAGACTGAATGGCTAAAGGCCATGCATGATGAGATGAAATCTCTTCATGATAATCACACTTGGGAACTAATCAAGAAACCTGTTGGGGCAAGGTTAGTCAGCTGTAAGTGGATTTTCAAAGTTAAGGAAGGAATTGAAGGAGTAATGTCGAAGAGGTACAAGGCAAGATTAGTCGCAAGGGGTTTCACTCAGAAAGAAGGTGTCGACTTCAATGATGTATTTTCCCCTGTTGTGAAGCACAGATCCATCCGAATGTTGCTTGCCATGGTGGCTCAGTTCGACCTTGAACTGGAACAAATGGATGTGAAGACTGCGTTCTTGTATGGTGACTTAGATGAAACAATCCGGATGAGGCAACCTGAAGGGTATGTCGAAAAGGGGAAAGAAGATTATGTGTGCAAACTGAAGAGATCTTTATATGGACTTAAACAATCTCCTCGACAGTGGAATAAGAGATTCGACAAGTTCATGGAACACATAGGTTTCATTAGAAGTCAGTTCGACCATTGTGTTTACTCCAGATTTCGACCTGAAAATTCATTTGTTATTTTGTTGCTTTATGTTGATGATATTCTGATAGCAAGCAACAATGTCGAAGATGTAATGAGGGTGAAGGCTGAACTCAATAAGGAGTTTGACATGAAGGATCTGGGAGCTGCATCTAGGATTCTTGGAATTGACATTCGAAGAGATAGAAAGCAGTTGAAATTATGCTTATCTCAAGAGGCATACCTACGGAAGATTCTTGACAAGTTTGGTATGTCGAATTCAAAGCCTGTTGTGACTCCAACAAACCCTCAATTCAAGCTGAGCATTGATCAATGTCCCAGTACTGATGTTGAAAGAACCTATATGAACAGCATCCCATATGCTAATATAGTTGGTTCTTTGATGTATGCTATGGTCTGTACTAGACCCGACATAGCATATGCAGTAAGTCTTGTAAGCAGGTACATGGCGAATCCTGGAAAGGCTCACTGGCAAGCGTTAAAGTGGATTCTAAGGTACATAAATGGGTCTCTGAACAGAGTCTTAATTTATGGTGGAGCCTTGGGTGAAGATAGTAAAGCAGCTGTCGAAGGCTATGTTGACTCTGATTATGCAGGCTGTATGGATTCCAGAAAATCTATTTCTGGATATGTTTTCACTATGTTTGGTACAGCAATTAGTTGGAAAGCAACTCTTCAGAAGGTTGTTGCCTTATCAACTACTGAAGCAGAATATATTGCCCTAACTGAAGCTGTGAAAGAAGCATTGTGGCTTGAAGGTTTTGCAAAGGAGCTGAAACTTCAAGGTCAAGGTATCACTGTTAAATGTGATAGTCAAAGTGCAATACACCTGTCGAAGAACTCAGCCTATCATGAGCGAACCAAGCACATAGATGTGAGGCTGCATTTCGTCAGAGGGGTAATCGAGCGTGGAGAAGTCCAAGTGCTGAAGGTCTCGACAGATCACAATGTCGCTGATATGATCACCAAAACATTGCCAAGTTGCAAGTTTTTCCACTGTATGCAGTTGATAAAGCTGCATGAAGAAAGCTAGTTAGTGTCTCTTGATGCTGTAGAGTTAGGTCCAAGGTGGAGATTTGTGGGTTTTTGGATCAAACTCTAGTATGATCGAAGTACATGCTATTTGAAGGAGGGTCTAGCATGTATTTGTCGAAAATGCTTGTTAAATTAGGTTTTAGTGTTTAAACCCTAATTTGTTAAGTTAGCTTGTTTATTAAGTTAGCTTGTATAATGGGCCTTGTGGAAAAAGCCCATTAGTTAGTATGTTAGGTTTTATTATAAATAGCATACTAGTCTCTCATCATTGCAACACACAGCAAATCCTAATTTAGGGTGAGAGGGTTAATTGTTATTCTTGTAAACTTGTAATCTTGTTTTCTAAGAGAAAGTAAAGAATAGCAGTTATAACCAATTCTTGTGTTCTTCTTCTTCCTTGTTCCTTATTCATCCCTTATTCTATACTTTGTTATTGGCATTGAATTCACAACATATTTATAGATGATTCAAGGGAATCAGTTTCGTGTGAAAATTGAGCTTAAGAGTGTGAAGATTGGCGAAAGTTACGTGAACTTGATGAGCTGGGTTGAAGAGAAAAAAAAAGGTGACTCATGGTGGTGGAGAAAACATGTGACCATAGTGAAGATAAATAATCTATACTTTGAGTGGATTTTGTTTTACCGTGACTGCGGTTTTTGTTTTCACTTATATACTTCTTTTCTTTAGTGATGCAAAACTTGTGCAATTATTCACTAATGTAAAAACTTATTGATGTAAAAAATTACATATACAATTATTCACTGATGCAAAAACTTATGTAAATAATTACAGATATAATTAGTTAGTAAAAAAACTTATGCAAATAAATCACTTTGTTAATTTGATTGTGAATGGATATAGTGCAATTAATTGGTTTTGATTGTAATGGATAATTGTAGATTATGGACAAACTATTTTTCTGGCTTGGATAGTTTTATGATTTTTATTGATGCATTGAATTGGATATGGATTATAAGTAAAATGGTTAACTAGTTTTTTAATGGTAATTGGTTTATAAAAATGGATAATTGGATTAAAAAAGGATTTTTTATATATAAATGGTTAATGGATAGTTATGAAGTGGTTTCTTTTGATTTTGGACTTGAAATGGGTAATTGAATGGAAGTGGTTTTAAAAAAATGGATTTTGGTGGACTTGGGTTGAAATGAATGATAACTGAATTTGAATTTTGAAATGATTAATTATGGGCTTGTTTGAATTATAACTAACATCAAATAAAACTCAAGTGAACTTGAAATGGTTTGAACCAAGTTCAAATAGACTTGAACTTCAAATAAGGTTGACTTTGACCTTTTGTACACTTTGACTTTAGTTTGACTCAAATAAAGTGAGATGATAATGATATGAATGATGTATAGCAAATCATGTCATGAACCATCAACGAATACAGACAAATCCTTATCCAATCTTTTATTGTCCTTTTGACATGAAAGTGAGTAAATGATGTATGGAAATGCATGGACAAAGTTAGGGGTAAAAAAATGGGCCTGGCCCTTTGGGAGTGGCCGTTTTTCCCGCACTTTAGTGCGGGGAGGGCTATGGTTTTAGGCCCTCACCCTCTGCCCGCTTCATTTTCAGTGCGGATTTTTGCGGGCACATACATTTTCATAAATTTTTGTGTTTTTAGACTTAAAAGGTGCAATGCTCGCGGGCTTTCTCCGTCCACAAACACTTTTTATGGGATGAGGCTAGGTCTTAGGCCTGCATCCTCACCTATGTCCGCCCCGTTCTGCCCTGTTTTTTTGCGGGCTTTTACGGGGCGAGCCTAAACGGGGAGGACATACCCGTTTGCCACCTCTAGACAAAGTTAAACTTAGTCTTTGACCTTATTGTATGCAATAACGTGATGCATACTACGGGTAAATAAATGACGGATACATCGAGCCATGACTTAGGGACTATTTCTCTTGTCATCAGACGAATTTCAAATGCCCATAGTCAATTGATATGAACAAAGAAAGGGACAAAATTAGGATATGACACTATTAAATGGACTTTATAATCATTAAACGAGGAATAAGACAAGCTTATTATATTAGGAACATTATCATAGGTATAATAGAGACAGTCTTCCTACGACTCAGAGTTAGTCAATTATTTGTGACTCTTACAGACTCTGCATCAGTGTTGTCATAAATATTGTACTCGACATGTACATTTGGCATCTACTGTGGGGCTCGATAAAACTAAATTGAGCCTCAAGTTTAATCTACATGAAGCTATGAGTGGGGGTGATGAAGGCTGTAGATTGTTTGGCGAGGATGGTGAAAAACATCGCAACGAAAGACACTAAGAACAAGGTAAATAGAAGTGTAAATTTTTTAACAACTTGATTATACTCGTTAGATTCAAATCATTTGCTTCACGGACGTATAATTCACTTTTTAAAGTCTATTATTTTTATAATTTGACGTTTTAAATTTATATTTAAAAAAAATTGAAATAAAATAAAAAATTATAAGATTGTTAGAAAACAGATAGCTAAGGTTTGGAGTAAATCTTTAAAATATATTGACTAACAATTTTATATATATATATATATATATATATATATATATATATATATATATATATATATATATATATATATATATATATATATATATATATATATATATATATATATATATAACAAATTTATCTTCTATTTTTGTTCTTATGCTTCTCGATGCTTGCAAACGATTGACAAATAAAATAAATGCCTTATAAAATATATATAGTGTCAAAGAGTCTAAGACTGAAATTTACTTTAATATCTTATAACCAACTTCAACTATCGAGGCTTAAAAGATTCACACTCATCTAAATCTATAAGCACAATCAAGAAACATCTTTAACTTTAAAGTTATTATTTTAATGCATAATCAATTATTGACTTGATTCATGTTTTCAAGTAGAAAGATATATAATCAATTATTGACTTGATTCATGTTTTCAAGTAGAAAGATAACTTGGTTATATATATATATATATATATATATATATATATATATATATATATATATATATATATATATATATATATATATATATATATATATATATATATATATATATATATATATATATATATATATATATATATATATATATATATATATATATATATATATATATATATATATATATAGTGTCAAAGAGTATAAGACTGCAATTTACTTTAATATCTTATCACCAAATAGAACATTCATCAAAGGTCAAAAGATTCACCCTCAAATCTATAAGCACAATCAAAAAACATTTGTGATTATTACATTTTAATGCATAACCAATTATTGACTTGATTCATGTTTTCAAGTAGAAAGATAACTTGGTTATAATGTTCTTGTATTGCAAACCCAAAAAAATAACAAGACATATCATTTTTCAAAAAATGATGTTCCAACAACATCATTGATTTCTCATTCATCTGATACTAATGGAACTTGGTTCATCCCTAGATTTTTATACAGATGCTCCAGCAACCTCAAAGTTGTTGGATCTTCCTGAAAGTATTTAGCATTAAAAAAAATCATGAAGTTCTTGATTAGCATGCTATAAAATAGAGACTCTGACATGAATACTAGGACACGATACGACATAGATACTCTGACATCGAAAATATTAAGAATATAGGACATGAAACCACTACATATATTATAGTATTTGACCTTCATTGATCCATTTATTATTAAAAGAGTTTAAAATGTTTTAATTAAAATTAATGTCATTAATTCTTCATTGATAACTTTACTTCAATCAATATTTAACCATTTTAGATGTGTATTAGATTTGTCCAAAAAAATATATAAGGTGTCTCAGATTTGAAATAGTAGTCATAATTGTTCGACATGTGTTGTAAAAGTGTTACACGATGTCAAACATCGATTCAAAGAGTATTAAAGCAAAACAAAAATATATTTTAAAGACAGTTGTTTGACTTTTCAGACACTTATCTGAATTGTCTAACATATTTTAAAGAGTATTATACAAGTGTCAGACACCGAAGTGTGTCGGACATCGGTTCAAAGGGTTCCTAATAAAAAATAAACCTATTTTTTAAGAAATTTATTTGAATTTTCCAACACTTGACTAAGTATTCATGCATATATAATATAAATGTCAAATAAGTGCCGGACAATGTGTCATTCATGCTCTTAGAGGTCTTTGTACTTTATAGCTAGCATGTATATATTGTTCTTACAGTTTAAGTCGATATAACTTAAACTTTACATAACTAGCACATAAGATAAACATTTGCCCTCGTTTATAAACAATTTAAGTCATATTTCATTTAATGTCAATCTTTTAACATACTCTTATACGACTCCATAGTAGATTCTTGACAATAGGTGATCCAACAAATATTTTAGAATTTGACTCAACCTAACTCAATCCTTACGAGACTTGTTAGGGAAGTTTGAATTTCCCCCTTACGAGCACATGTTAACTATATCTCAACCAATGTGAGAATATTAACAACTATAGTATTTTTTGTTGATAAAGAGTATGACATGTGTCCCGTTAAGTTAACTCAATTGTTAGTTTCAGAAACATCTGAGCATAACACGTCTATTTTAACATGCGAAACTCCACTTATTTACGTTTAAAGAGTGAAATTATAATATTTAATCTACTAAACAAAAAAGAGTAGGTCTTACGATATCACATCATTACATATTAGGGCATAGGGCATATTATATCATGTGTTTCAAACAAGTTCAAAATCAAATTTATACTTAGTTATGTAATAAGAAGTACTTACACGAAGGTAATTATTGAAAGTTCCATTTGTGAGCATATTTGGAAGACTTCTCATTAGTACAATGCCAGCCCTGCTTTGATATGAAAGAATTTTATTAAAAAAATCAAAAGAATGAATATTCCATTAAGATACTTAAGATGATGTTTTTTTTCCAATCTACCTGTGATTATCTGATAAACGAGAATAACATGAAATTATAAGCTTCAAAAGACGAGGTGAAATTTGTTTCTCAAAACTTTTCAACATCATGTCCAAAACTCGATTTATGGCAAAAAATCGTTTTGCTGTAGCGCAAATATAAGCCAAACCATCATCATCTGCCAGAATTTTTTGAATTATAAATGTTGCTACCTGCATAAATATAAAAATTTGATATATTGATAATAGAAGTGGAAGAAAAAAAAATGTAGAAACAAATTGGCTAAAAAAATAGAGATTATGACCGTTTTTGAAACTTCTTTTCCAATTTCCATATTACACAAGCACAAGGGAATTATCTCGCTTGAAAGAAGGAAAGTTATCACTTCTTTAGTGCTAACCTGTAAATAACAAGTATAAACAATAATAAATTATTAAAATGGACACTTTACATATAAAAAATAAACAATGGTATTCATGTAATGTTAAATGTTTTAGCTGTGTTTGTATTAAAGTTTTAAAAAAAAATTATTTTGTTAAGAAATAATTTTATTTTGAAAATGAAATAGTTTGTTAGATTTTAAAAGAAATTATTTTTAATATAAGAGAGATAAAAGTATGATTTATGTTGTCTAAGTTTTTTTCAACTATATTTTTTATATTTTTCATTCATAGCTTATACTTTTATTAAAAGTATTTAAATAATAATGTCTAATTTTTTATTTATAAAAGTTAACTTTGCTAAAAAATAGTCATGTGTGTAAAAAAAAAAAGAATCAATTCAAATATAATACCTTCACCAATGCACCAATGACCCCAAGACTAGCAAGCCTCAAATGTTCAAATTGTGGCAACTTGTCTGTTGTTTGAAGTAAGGGATACAAATACAAAGGTATGTTGGCTGCATATCAACAAGAAAAGATTAATGTTATTTTTTTGTTAACACTTCTTTTATGGACTCAGAATAGTTAAGAAGAATAAGAAACTTGACATTACCATTGATAAATAACATCTTTGTATCAGAGTGAGATGCCACACACTATAATGGAAATATTAGAGAAAAGTATTAGAGAAATTAATTTCATATATTTTATGAGGAAAGAGAAATTATAAGTATAATATTTCCACATGTTAGACACAATATTCAAAACTTGTCATAACAAACTTATCTCACCTGAAGTAGTGCAATAACATTGCACACTCGAGTTGATTGTGCAGGAGTAAGATTTTGCAATGAAATATTAGGAAATATTGAGATTATTTCCTGTAAATTAAGATACCATTATCAGTAAATATAAGGCATCTAATAAAAATGTCACATCATCACCATTTACTTCTAATTCTTTTTCATAATCATATCTATTTCAAATGAATTGTAAAAAATAAAAATGTTGTCTTTATGTTGAAAAGTAGAAGTTAAAAATATATAAACGTAAATTGGTGAAATATTTATGTAATAGGAAGAATCAGAGAGGGAGATAAATAAAATAATAAGCTAAAAAAATAGAAAATGGTCATTGTTATAAAAGAGTGTAACATGACAAAATAACATAGTTGATATTTTCATTAATTGCCACTTTGTATTCCACCAAATACGGAATAACAATTGTTTACTACACCAAAAGTAAAACACATATATAATATGTTAGTTTAGCTAAATCTTGTTTTTTTTTTTTAAAATAGCATGGTTCTAATAAATATTACAAACAAAAAAAGAAGTTTTCTAAAATTAATAACACAACAAAATCTAACAAACATATAATAATTGAGTTAATCACATATAACATACCTGCAAAAGTATGGTGATAGTGCCGAAGGAATTCCATAATAAGGGTGCAAGATCTTGGAATAGCTCAGTTCTCTGAACAATTAGAAATTGAAAAATACAAACTTGTGTCTTAATTGGATGAGTTCAAGAAACATTACCAAGTGCAAATCAAATTGTAAACTAACCAAAAACCAGAATATAATAACATTAAGTGATATATGTGTGACATGGTAATGCTAATTTTTTTATAAATAAACTTGATGTCGCCATCATCATTATAGTCAAAGATTTTATTTATTACATAGGACTGGACAATTAAGATATTTAGTTTTTTGTTGTTCGGAGTCACAACATGAGTGACTTGATTTCTATCTAACTATGATATTTGTTAATCGTAGTAAAGTGAGTTCATTTTATTTTCGTAGATTTTTTATCTCTCATATAATATAGGGATGACAAAACTTGCTCGTCCGGTTGAGCATGTTCGTTTTACTCACACTTTATTGTGGGACTGGTCAAGTGTTTAGGCCTACACACTTTAACTGGCCCCTACTCGCTCTATTTTTCTATGGTTTTTGCTGGCACATGCATTAACATAAATTTTTAATTTTAAACTTAAAAAGTTATGTGTCTGAGTTTTGCCTGCCTCACCGTTACTTTTTGCGGGACGGGATTAAGATTTAGGTCCTCAACTAAATCTGTCCCATTTTGCCTCGTTTTTTGTGGAATTTTGCGAGATTGGTATAAACGGGGAGGACATTTCTGTTTTCCACCCCTTATATAGTATCACTTTTAATATTATATTTATATATCTCTTTTATTTCAATCATATTGAGTATTACACTTTTATTTTCATTTTTTCTCTTTCTTCAAATGTCTCTCTTAATTGTAAGGTTTTTCTTCCTCTTGGAGTCATGAATATGACAAAAACATTATTCATTAGGTAGAGAACGATACAATAGTTATCGAACAATCTACACTTAATACGGTGATTACTAGTGTAGGTCTATAACATGCAAAAAGATATTATTTCAATATAATTAACAATAATTAACAATAATTAACATACATCAAATTTGAATATAATATAAAATTATATAGAATTTTTTTTTAAATAAAAATAATAATGTATGTTTTTATGTGTCTCAAAATACACCAAACAGTGGATATTTTAGCTCAACTATAACAAAAACTATATCTTAATTGTCCAAAAGTACCTGATAAAAATGTTATAATTATAACAAAATGTTAGTGTTTACTAAAAAGAAGTTAGTCGTATAATATGGTGTATCAAATCTATATTGAGAGAGGAGCATACAACTCCTTTAAGAATTGAATTATCTAGGGTAAGAGAAGCTATTAAAAATGTAAAGAAAATTAAAGTATAAGTTGGTAACAACCTTTTATAGTATACAAATAGATTTTATTAGAGACAAAAAATTCTTAACAATAATATTTAATAAAATAAGTAATAAGGACTTTATAATAAATAGATTTGACGTTATAAACATCATTATTGTTAATGATTTTGATGGTTAAAAAAATCTCATAATTAAATTTTCGATATGTCAAAGTAATAATAAATTCGCGTCATTTTTATCCCTCATAATTAAATTTTCGATATGTCAAAGTAATAACAAATTCGCGTCATTTCTATCCCACAACATGCTAATTAAAATAAATTTGAGTATAAACTTATAGTTTCAATTTCCCTCATATATTACATGGTCTTTTATTTCTATTCCATGTTTCATTATCTTTCAATTAATCCTATTAAGTATCACATTCTCACTTTTGTTGTCTTTTCTTTTTTCATTTCCCCTATTTTTTACACATCTTTCTATCACTTTTTTTTTTGTAAGTAAGAATTTAATATAAGGAGTATTAGGGGTATTTAATCCCAAATACAAAATCCTATATAAAACGGAAGAAGGGAAAATTACCAACCAAATGAAATTTAAATTTAAATAATATAAAAGATTTTTGCAAAACTCATAAAAATTCCATTTAACATAAGTAATATCATTATGGAAAGACCATTTCCATGTCATGACCTTAATATTTCAAACTAAGTCAGAGACACAACAAGAATCGTTA